TTTTCTTCTCTAAGACAGTACTGCATCCTCAAGGCTGCTTGAAGTTTTCCCTATGCCATCCACCTCTATGGATGTATTAGTCTATCTTGGCTGCCATAACAAAATACCACAGACTGGGCAGCCTAAACAATAGAAGATTTATTTTCTCAAAGTTCAGGTGGCCAGAGAAGTTGGAGATCAAGTTACCATCAGGGTTTGCTTTTTCTGAGGCCTCTCTTTCTAGCGTGCAGATGGCCGCCTTCTCTCTTGTGTTCTCATGGCACCTTTCCTCTGTACGTGCATCCTTGGCGTCTCCTTGAAAGTCTACTTTCCTCCTCTGGGAGGGACACCAGTCAGACTGGATTAGGGCCCACCATAATGTTCTCATTTTAATGTAATCACCTATTGAAAGCCTTATTTTGAAATAAGTCATACTGTGAGGAACTGGGGATTAGGGCTGTAATATGAATTTTGGGGGACATGATATTGTCTATAACCCTCCACATATCTGGGTTAGTAGCCTCTCCTGTATCCCCCGCCAAGGCTATTTGTATCCTCGGACTTTAACACTCCACAGTCACTTGCCAGTGCTCAGCTCCCACCACGGAGCACCTAGAGGGTAAGTAGGAAGACTAGCTTCTTCTTAACTTTTCTCTGAGCCTCCAACTGAAAGAAAACCTGACATACAGTTTGCCAAATGAAGCGTCCTATCTTTTTTTAATTTAGGTTTTCCTATTTTTCACCTACCTTTGCCCTGCAAAGAGATGTAAAGTTAATAACACTGCGGTATCTGGGCTTAGTCAATATTATGTAAGTGTTGAAGATGTTGAAGATATATCTTCATTCATAAAGAAACATTTCTGTTAGATTTTCAAGCCCCTTCAAATTTGTAGGACAGAGACTCTGAGAGCCACAGCTGGATGTTTATATTGGCTAAACGTGTCTGTAGCAGCCCACGCTTGCAGGTGGAAAGGAGAGAAGCTGCAGGCTGGGAAGATACTTCAAAGAGGTGTCTTTAAATGAATGAATAGCACAGCTGTATCATAGGAAAAGCCACAATCTTCAACATTTACAGTATTAAACAGGAGAAAATGAAACTTTTCTAGCCATTCTGCTCCTAAGAAAGAAATAAATAGAACGGGAGAATTAAAAATATAAATAACAATTAATAAATAATAAAATGAAAAAATAACATTTTGAAAAAGAGCTTAGTTTTTGAAAACGTTTAAACAGATGTGCTTCTAGGTAGTTTATTAAATTGGAAAAAGAAAGAAAATGCAAATCAGAATAGGAATAAATGAGATAATAGAACCACAAGTTGAAAAGGATGCACAAAAGAGAATATTACAAACAATTCCACATTCGTAAAAGTGAATATTACAAAATAAATGATAAGCTCAGAAAATAAGAATTAATAAAATGAGCCCAGGATAGAGTGATGACTCTATAGACTCTATAACCCAAATCCTAGGCTAGAAGTTAACAAAAGGGCTAAAAACACTGAGCAACTTTCAAAGATCAGGTCTAAGTAAATCATAAGCTGCATGAAAAGAAAGTTTATAAAAGCAATTTTCTGTGCAAGCAGGTTAGCTACAATTGAAAAGAAATTGTATATGAGTCTTTCTCAGGATTAAACTTTGATGTTAAAAATACACTGATACAGAACTTTAAAGTTTGGTCCCCTGTATTAAAACAAGGTTTACTTAAAATACTGATTTGGTCTTAGTAAAATTGCAAGAGTAATTTTTAATTTGCAAATCTGTTCCCTTAATAGTAATCCTCTAAACTACAAACAGTTTCTGTTTCTGGCATATTTCCTCCTGAGATCTATATAATTTTCCTGTTTTCAGGTTGTAAATGCAGCTCTCTTTCTCTTGGTCCTTGAAAAGGTAAATTCTTTTTGCATGGCCACATGATAACCATCTCCTTCAACCTTTTTGTCATCTCCTGTAACTTTTTCTCTGGTTCTAACACTGCTGTCATGGCCTGATGCTAAAATGTTTATTTTGAAGTTCTAGAAAACCAAAGTTTTCCTTCATTATAACTTGATTTTACACTCTTGGCTTTTCTTGGTGTGTCTGAATTGTTCCATGTAACCAGGAAGCTTCCTATGCTGTTCCTAAGAACCAAAGATTTCCATGTTCAAGGTACTAGTTTTCTTGTTTACATTTCTCTATAATAGCATACGCTTAGAATTCTGGATACATTCTTTCTGTGCCTGATTAAATTCAAATACCCTTTGCATCAGGTTTAACTTTCAGGTTATGAGAATGGGCTTTCCATAAGGAGAAGCCGTCATACTAAAGGAGGTTTGTTTCCCCTTTACCTATTAGGTAACTAGTCATATTTAAGAAGAGTCATAAAATGCCTGGTTTCAAGAGTTCCCAGCCTTATAGTGAATGCATAAAACTTGTCACTTCCTGCTGGGCCCAATAACCTTAAGACCCTAAGTAAAATCTAAAGCCTGCCTTGATTTGGCTTCTTAGCCTCTAGAGGTTCTAAAACCTAAAAGTTCCTGTATGATTAATGTAGAGAGAAAAAGTCATGTTCTTAAGAAAAACTAACATGCACCTATTATTAGGTTAAAGCCCTGTGCCCTGTTTTCAAGTTCTGGTTTTCTACCTGTAGACTGGACTGGATCCTGAGTTCTCCTAATTTCCTACAATATCTGGCTACAATTAAACCCTGATAAAGTTTACCAGCCCTCTTCCCTCAAGCAAAACTGTAGAGCCTCTCAGGACATTTCCCCAACTCGAATTACTCAACTAGGGGAATTAAGTATTAAGATTGGAGAAAACTCATCAGAGGTCTGGTCAACACTGGGGCTACTCTGTCCATCCTTAACCCCAGCATGCTTTCCGTGGACCCTCCCTGGGGTTCTGAATTCATCCAGATGGTTGGGGTAGCCAACCAACCTATGATGGTTCCTAATCTTCACCTATCCTTTTCCAAATAGTACCCCTCATGGGCAGTTGTTTTTCGTTCGGGCTTCCACACACTTCCTAGGAAGGGACTTCTTAGAAATATTCCAGGCCCGTATTTTATTCTCCCAGAAAGGAGAAATAATACTTGAGTTATCCTCACCAGGAGATTTTGCCATGGAAATACCTTTTCCCAAATTCCCATCTATTCAGTTATCCCCACCAGCACCGCCTACCCTGTTCTCTAACAGTTATAATCCAACACTGATGATAACTCTTCAGATTATGAAAATAATAGTTGTTGATACTCTCAAGGATATAATTCATCTAGAAGGGTTAACCCTAGAAGGAGCTAGATTAGGAAGGTTTTTTGGGTCCCAATTTAAACTAGATTCTGCTTGGAATTCATAAATGATCAGAAACCCTTCCTGAACTGTTCACAGAATTGCCTGCTCCACCACCCAAGCGATCAGAGTGCAACAGAGGTCCATAGACTCCCTTGCTCGTGTGGTCCTAGACAAACACATTGCTTTAGACTCTCTCCTCCCTGCACAGAGTAATGTTTGCGCTGCTGCTGCCACTTTCTGCAGGGTAAATACTTCCAGGCAGGTTGAATTTGGAACATGTAAGATCTTAAGGCTAGCCAAATCTCTGAAAAACACCTTCAAAAAGCCTCCTGGCTGGACTTTCTAGGTTAAGTTTCTGATCTCCAGATATTTCCAGCTGGCTTCCGCTGCAGTAGGGTTCCTTCTGCATGCCACCCTACAAGTCTTGATCCTCCTCATGTCTGGGCTTAGCATTTGGCACCTCTTTAAGATTTTCCTAGCCTATTTTAACCGATGTCTGCAAGAGACCCCCACTAGAATCGTGCTGACCTAACCTTTGAGACTTCAAACTTTCTCCAGCCAGAAAGGGGAACCAAGTTAACCCAAAAGAATTTGACTCAAATTTAACAGGTACCTGTATGCCTCTCATGATCACACGTGTATGCAGAAGTGAGATCTAGCAAAAAGTGATTTTCAATTGTGCAAGACCATGGCCTGAGAGTTTAAGAAACTTTGGGCTGAGATTTCAAGGACCTGAGATATAGCTACTGTTGAATATTTGGTAATCATTAAGCAGACAATTTTGCAGATGTTAAATGTTAAGTTAAACATGTTTAATGTTTTATTTTAAGTAAAATAAGTCATTTCTGTTTCAATTCAGAATATGACAGTATCAGAATAACACGAGCTAACCCTAACTGAACACTTAAAGTTTGCCAGGCAAACTTCATTTCTCTGGATTTCACAAAAATTGGCAGTTTTACTCTGCACAAAAATCGCATGAGATACATGGCTTTGCTGATAAAGAAATGGAAATCCAGAGAAATGAAGTCACTTACTCAAAGTCACCCAGCTACATGATTTGTGGCTCTGGAAGTTCAGCTACTAGGACTCTTCCAACTTTCTACAGGTGTCACGAAAGCACAAGACCACACACACACAGCTCTGATGAAAGAGGGCTAAAAGGAAGATTTCAGTAAAAAGGTCAACAAGGCTTTCTAAGAAAACTATAAAGATAAATAAACGATGGGTCGCAGTAATTCTCACCAACTAGGAAGCGTCTTAGAAAAGCACTGGATTTCCTCTAACTAAAAGCATCTATAAAAAATGATATCAAAATACAGGAAGATGTAAATACCTAAATTTTAACACTGTCACCTTGCATACATTAGGCTGAATAGCTAATGGAATAAGACATAAATTCAATTTTGTTCCATGCGTTTTTACTGTGATCTGAAAGGGGTCTTGAGGTGAATGATCCTGTACTCATCGTCCACCAGCCAATCAGTCTGTTTATTATTTGGCTCTAAAAAGAAACTTTTCCTGAGGACCCCCCCACCCCCACTATGATGGAGCAAAAACTATTACTTGGCTATGTCAAGAGAAAGCAATGCAACAAGTACAAAGTGTGCTGATCAATGCGCCTGTGTCTATCTCTATCAGACAGAAAGCTAGATATTGATAGAGACTGCTATCCTCATCTGTAACTACATCAAGCTAGAGAGACTGTTATAATACAAGTGGTCTGAGGCAGTCGTGAGTAAAGAAACCAGGAATGCTGGTCCCGATCTCTAGTCTTCAGTCTTGGCCCTGTTTCAACTTTCACTTTCATGTGTGAAAAATCGAAACTCTAACTCAACTGAGTGTTAGTGAAAGAAGGTGTGTCCTGCTCCCCATGACAGGTTGCTCAGAGACTGCTGATTTCCACCGCTATATAAAGAGAGTCCCCGGCATACAGGGACTGCTGTGCTCCAGGCGTCTGCCACCATGTGGGTACTCACGCCTGCTGCTTTTGCTGGGAAGCTCCTGAGTGTGTTCAGGCAACCTCTGAGCTCTCTGTGGAGGAACCTTGTCCTGCTGTTCTGCTGGCTGAGGGCAACCTGGCTGCTAGCTTCCAAGAGGACAAAGCAGCAGCTGGTCTGGAGAGAGCCAGATGAGACCAAAGAGGAGGAAGAGGACCCTCCTCTGTCCACCACCCCAACCAGCGTCAACTATCACTTCACTCGCCAGTGCAACTACAAATGCGGCTTCTGTTTCCACACAGCCAAAACATCCTTTGTGCTGCCCCTTGAGGAAGCAAAGAGAGGATTGCTTTTGCTTAAGGAAGCTGGTGAGTCCATGGTCCCAGACAGAAATCAGGATTCTCAACCATTCAGCAGTAGGGTAAGGCGAGAAGGGGCGGGGGGAACACACAAGCTGGTGAGCTTCTCCAAAACTCAAGGTCACCATTTGCCATTGCACGGTGAGCATGTTGTCCTAGGAGAAAATAATTCAGTGAATTTTGGAGTGGGCACCTAGTCCTTCCTAAATCACAAGAGTTGGCCTGGAGCAGGGGATTTGTGGAGCAAACCTGTCCCTCCTGCCACTTGGAAGTGAGCAGGGGTCTATGCAAAGGGCAGGTCCCTGTTACACTCGGTGTTTGGAAAGAGGCGGTTTGGGAAGATTGTACCACTTTCTGAGTTTGCCCACAACACTAATGAATTTGGGTTTTCTAGAAACAGTTATTAATAATTAGGAAAGTTGGAAACAAAAACAAAAACTGACGTAAAAACAGCAGCGGTTGAATCTTATATTTGAGTTTGTGTATATTCTTTTAATAGGAAGCCTTACAATTTTTTTGGCAAATATGTCAAGGACTTAGCTCTCAAGAATGCTTACTGAGTATCACCACATTAGTAACTGGCAGCATCTTGGAGAGTACTCAGCATGTGACCTTCGAATGCAACATCTTCCACTCCAGATCTGTTCTTCCTTCCATCCTTGTCTTCCTGTCTTTCTTAGAGTACCTTCTCGGCTAGTAACTTCAGCAACATCTCTACCTTCTTTCCCTCCTTGTTTAACTTTTTAACAAAAGCATAGCATACATGCACCATATTACACATATTCTGGGTGTGCATCCTGATGAATTTCACAAAACAGTCACACTCATTTTCTCCAAACACCAAAATCGTTAAGACAATGGTCATATTGTTGTCTCTTCCTAGAATGTCTGTCCTCAAATCTTTGTTGATGAACTTTCAAAGCTCCTTTGAATTCTCCTTGGTTCTCTGCAGCCATAATTATGCCCTTTACTTTTCACTTGTGAACTCATGGCACTTGCTACAAATGTGTCTTGCAGCTTTTTAAAATGTACTATTTTGTTCAGTTGTTTTTTTTTTTTTTAAATATCTGGTTCCTCAAAGAAATTGCATTCCAAGGTTGAATTTTACCCTCCTGTGTATCTTCATGCCTGGCAGAATGTCTAGAATGTAATAGAGGCTTAAGAAATGTTTTAGATAAATGAATGAATGCATGAGTGAGTGAATAAGGAGACATGTCGAGTGAAATTTCGACTTTCATTCAGAAGGCCAGGGTTTGAGTTTCTGCTCTAACATTTACTAGACTTGTCAAGACATTTAGCTTTTCTGAGTATCAGTTCCATGATCTTTAAAATTATCTTTAGATAATAATGACAACTGATAAACCAATCTCAGAAGTTGGTACAAGGCACAAACAAGTGAATGTTCATTATTTTGTCATAAAAGATAAATTATTAATAGTTATAATTAATACTTTTATATAATATCCTCTTGTTTTAAGTAAATAAAACCAAAGTTAATTGAAATGCTTACAGGATACTGTAGGTTGTATTTTCCTGTAAGAGAGATTTCTACATAATGGAGGAAACCTATTTTTTTGGTTGTAGGAATTAAAGAAAGAGGAAAGAATCACAAAAGGTGGCTCCACAGTCAAGGACAGGTTTATTTTAGAGAAAACAAACCTGATAGGGGCTTGTGGCTGAGTTAGGTCAGAGCCCATTCTCTTACAGACCAAGAGTTTTAAGGATTTAGGGTGGGAGAGTTTATTAGAGGCTTGAACTGCTTCTGTTTCTCTCTGTTCTGTTTATCTGGGAAGGAGAGTTGTGTGTCTGTGACCATACATCTTCCTGCAGCTGCAGGCATACCCACCCTGAATCTGCTTTTAGCTTCCCTATCTTAGAGCACTGAAGAGAAATGAATGTGCTTATTAAGGCCCACTGTTTTCCTGGGGCCCATTGTATGAGAATGAAGTTTGGCAGTTGCCTAAGAGACTTCCCTCAACCTCCCTCTGTGCCCGAGCTGTCTTATCTGTGTTTTACTGTCTGTTCTTTCTGGCTGCTTGTAGTTAGAAGAGAAGTGACTTCCTTAAAATGCATAAGGCTAGAAAGGGAGCTGGAACTTGAAGTGGTGGTGTTTGTCTGAGATGATGATGTTCCTGCTCTGTCGGTGGTAATTAAAGGTTTACATTTACATTGAAATTTAAATTTTAATATATATTTTATATATTGTATTTAAAATTAAAATTTACTATTCTGGCTAAAGATGCTTCTAAAATATACTATTTACTTTTCTGGCTTTTAAACTGTTTTGAAATTCTATTCAGAAAGACTGAATAGAATTAAAAATAATGAGCATCAGATCTGGGCTGTAATATGATCACTCGTGCATGTTAACACTATTGTAAATCAATTACTCCTTGTCTAAGATCTTAACTATGCCTCTAAATTCTATTCCTTCCATTTCCTTATTCTTCCATCCCTTCTAAATATAGTCCTCAAAATTGTTAGCAGTTCTGTGCCACTGGCCAGGCCCCTGTCTTACTTTCTACAGTTTATCTGCCACTACGTCACCACACTACTTAGGTAATTATGTTTTATTTGGTTTTCGGGTTATAATGAGTGTCACTCAAGCTGCCTCCCAGCATGATGGATCATAAATAGGTGGTATAATGTCTCACTGTCCAATCATAGAGACGTCTGAGTGTGAAAGGGGGCACTAAAACTCACAGATACTGTTTTGTTTACTATAAACCAAAACTGTTCCAGGCACACCAGCCTGGAGGCTTCTCTACTTATAAAGACTCCAGGCTTTGGATCTAGGCATGTACCTTAGCTCTACTTTTCTCTTGTCTTATGATCTTCAACAAGTTGTTTAACCTTTCTTGGCTTCAATTCTTGCACTAAAAACCAGATAATAATTCCTTCCCCGTGGGTTATTTAAGGGTTGAAAACTTTAACCATATTACCTTGGGTGATGTATGGTGAGACCAGATACAGATTAAGAGAGACCAAAAAGAGGTTTGCACAGGCTCATTCTCCTAGAATGCAGGCAGGCAGGTGTATGACGCATAGGCCTGTCCTTCTAGAATGCAGACTGGCAGGTGTATGGCACAAAGGCCCATCTTCCTAGAATGCAGGCAGGCAGGTGTGTAACGCATAGATCCATCCTCCTAGAATGCAGGCAGGTGGGTGTATAACGCACAAGCCCATCCTCCTGGAACACAGGCAGGCAGATGTGTAAACGTAGACCCCATCCTCCTAGAATGCAGGCAGGTGGATGTGTAACATGAGACCCCATCCTCCTAGAATGCAGGCAGGTGGATGTAACGATAGACCCCATCCTCCTAGAATGCAGGCAGGGATGTAACGCATAGACCCCGTCCTCCTAGAATGGCAGGTGGGATAACGACAGACTTCACCTCTGGAATGGCAGGCAGGTGGATGTGTAACGTGATAGACCTCATCCTCCTAATGCAGGTGGATGTGTGACGACAGACCCCATCCTCCTAGCACGCAGGCAGGTGGATGTGTAACGATAGACTCCATCCTCCTAGAATGCAGGCAGGTGGATGTGGTGACCACGCATAGACCCCATCCTCCTAGAATGCAGGCAGGTGGATGTGTAACACATGCAAGAGACAGATGTTCTTCTCTGAGAAAACAAAATGACCCCAGAGTAAAGACCAAGGATATTAGCAGTTGGAGGTTTTTCTGTGAATAAACCGGTTTACCTCTCTGTCTCTCTCTAGTGAAACCCTCCTTTGGATCAGCCCCTCCCTTCATCACATAAATTCCATTCACTTATTTTGTGCCACACTGAAATTTAAATGAACAAATAAAAACATCAAAAGAAAAGGCAGACACCAAAACAAATACCCAGAGAGGGTGTAGGAAGAAGAAAACTTCTGAAAAACTATAACTAGTAATTACAGAGCGATAAGAGAAAGAATTGCATATATGAAACAAGAATAGAATGCCTGGAAAGGAATAGTCAGAATATGGAAGTGTCTGGGGAACTAAAAATGGGGTTTCTAAAATTAAAATCTTAATAGAAAGACGAAAAGGCAAAGTCTTGCCAAAATGAGACCAAAAATCAGGATAGATATAGAAAGGAAGATGATAAGAAAATAGTGGTTAAATTTAGAAACTCCAATATTCCAGTAATATAAGTTCCAGATTCCTGCTTTTACATTTTTTTTCAGGAAGCCTGTAAAGGGATTTTCTAAAATAAGGGAGTAGCCCAAGAGAGAGGGCGACACAGAATCCAGGACAAGGAGTGGGGATGGGAAACGCAGAGTGAGGACGAGTGTTATTCCCAGGCTGGCAGCTGGCCTGTGGACAGTCACACCGCATGGCAGGGATGTGGCTTTCTGCTTTGCAAATCCTGGCGCTGCCTCATTGTACCCTTTGGTGTCTGAGCAATTCTATTCATCTGTGTAACCGATTCCCTGCATCCCTGTTTAGACCCCGAATTAAACATATGCTATTCCCATTGGGTGGGATTGGTGTTGAGAACTAGGGTTAGGGGAGGGGAAGATAATGAGAAAATTTTATTTCTTTTTTTCACATTGAGAAAATATTACTTTTGCTATTAAAATAATAATGTATATTTGTGAAGTGGTAAAATTCATGTATCACCTTGCACAGGTATGGAGAAGATCAACTTTTCAGGTGGAGAGCCATTTCTTCACGACCGGGGAGAATACCTGGGCAAGTTGGTGAAGTTCTGCAAAACAGAGCTGCAGCTGCCCAGCGTGAGCATCGTGAGCAACGGAAGCCTGATCCGGGAGAGATGGTTCCAGAATTATGGTGTGCTTCATGGGATGGCACTCTCCTTACTGCTATTGTTATTGTTGGTTCTTGTATTTCCTTCCATCCTGGGCCTTCAGCCAGACCTGCTGAGGAACTGGAAGGGAGGAAAAACTAATCTTGCTAACTCTAATCGCTTTTCAAGCTGTGCACAGCATTATGGCAGTTTTACTTCCTTAGGGCTCTCAATAAACAAGTTTGGCAAGTTACATAATAGACCTTATTACTGAGATGACTATCTTGTACATTGCAATTTAGCAAATACAAGATCTATGGCCTTAGTTTAGACACTAGGTAGGAAAATTAACACATTTGACAGCTTTGTAATAAAATATCTCTGTTGGGACTGGACTGCATCCGTAGACTAATTGTATCAGAACCTCGTGGTGTGTGGATTGGCCAATATGGGGAGCTCCAAGGGATTCTACCGTTTAGCCAGAATTAAGAACTGCTGAATTCTAAGTCTGCTGAGATTCCTCGCAGTTTTCAGCAGATGTCATGTCCATAGAGCAGTGCTTGAAACTTAGCAAGGGCTTGGAAAACATTAGCTCTTTTTATATGGACTGTCATGTTGGGAAACAGGTATAACCTGTTATAGTAAAATTCTCTGTTCTTGCTTATATGAGCTGTTCGAGACTTGTAGTCTTTCCAAGAGAAGCTGCATTTATAATCTGTTGAGGATGTTACTGAGACATCTCTGGTACACCATCTGTGATGGTGCGGACCTGGACTGTGGGGGAGGGATGCTGTGGATGTGGGTTGGAGGGTCCATCTGATAAGGGTTAAGCAGGTAGAGAAGAGTCAAGGTGTCAGGTGCAGGTGAATCAGGAAAGGCCTACAAGGCAGTGTGTAAAACCGAAACGGTAGTGAAGGGAGGCACTTCGTCACACAGGCGGTCTGAGGTTGAAAAGTGAACTTTGGGAACCATACTCAGAGAGAGAAAAAAGAAACTGAGGAAGCAGTGTGATGGAGAGTACCTGGCGGGATTTTCTGGGTGGGTACCCAGCCAATGCCCTTCCTCTAAGATCAGTCATCCAGGATATCTTTGTGGTGTACAGATCAGGGACAGTGCTGCACGTCCAGGTCAAATCTCTCAGGCTTGTGGGAGAAAGTGGTATAAATTAGTGAATTTAGAAGCATATAAGAAAAGTCACTTTCAGCAGCTTGGAGACAATAGGAAAGCACAAAGACTGGAGAACGGGAAGCACTGCGCCCTATTCCTATAGTGCATGGGTGGAGAGCCAGCTAGGAGGTTTCATTGATTTTTGTGCAGCAAGATAATTTGGATGATCCTCAAAGTATTAAACATAGATCAAAAATATACAATTATAAACATTTGTAAATAATTTGAAATACTTTTAGGCATTGTGAGGAACAAATGTATACAGATGCCTATCTGGCCCATAAGCTGCTAATTTTCCACCTCTGGCTCAATGGGTCAGGGATGGGTCATGTGCTTGAGTGGATGAAGAGAGCTGTTTTAGAACCCCACTGCCTCTCTAAGTTTGGTAATTTGCTAGAAGGACTTCCAACACTCAATAGCCAGCTATACTCATGGCTAGGGTTTATTAGAGTAAAGGATACAGAACAGAAACAGCAGGGTAATGACATATATATATCACCAGAGTCCAGAGAGTCCAGACACAGGCCCTGAGTCCTTCTCCATCCCAGGCCTCACAGGTTGTACTTTCTCTCTAGCAGTGAACTACAGGGACATAGTTGGAATGTGTTTGCATAGGAAGGTCCATTTGAGTCTTAGAGTCTGAGGCTTTATACAGGGCTGGTCATTTATGCACATGCTGCTATGTAACCAGCTATTGGAACTGAAACTCAGGACCCCAACAATGCAGCCAAGGAAGTCGTGGATCTGGCTAAACAATCCTGAGAAGTCTTGACAAGTTGATTTAACATGCTCCATTGCCCCAGGTTTATACACCTCACCAATGATAAGTAGAATATTGTAGTTGCCATATATGCAGGAGTTGGCCAAGATTCCACCATGGTTCCGGGTTCTGGAAAGATATAGGAACTGAGCAAACAGATCTGCTCCATTAAATCTTTCTTCCCAAGAGCTTTGGCAAGGAAAAGCTGAGAAAAGGAGGATAGTTATCATGGACATACAGCAAAAGTTGGAAGGGGGGCAGAAGATAGCAATTGACTTACAGATCCTCAGATGACTTGTCTTGACTTTTGCATAACTGATAAGTCTCTGCATTTTTGGTTTTGAACTTAATTTCTGGTCTGTTTGGAGATCAGGTGCTCAGTGACTTGCCTTTTCACAATGTGATATGCCATTAGGAATTTATTTGAGATCAACTTTTAGAATGTTTCGAGTTGTTTTAAATCATGGACAGTTGCCTTATTCTGGCTCCAGTTTATGCTAGATGTTTTGAGGGCATATGTTACATATGGATAAAATAAAATTAGCCCAAAATAGGAGTCAAAATGACTCCTTTTGTAATATTAGAGGATAGCTGCTTAAAGAGTTTTTGGTATTTCCAGCTTCTATAATTGGAAAGTAATTTTAAGAAAAGCAGTCAACTCTTAAAAAGTCACAAAACTAGGAAAACTCTGACTTAATCAACTGCAAGGAGTGACTCAGCCATCGAGAATGCCTATACTTAAGAGATAAGTGGATAGCATGAAGGAGCAGAGGAAACTGGAGGGGTAATAAGAGAGGTGGAGCAGAAACTAGTGTGACAGAAACCAAAGCGAAGGTAATTGTGAACACTTTCTGTACTCCCGAAATGACATGCTATCACAGCTCTTCACATACCATGTTGCAAGGAGGGTCTGTTTACACTTTATTCCCACACCACGCTTCCCTTTCTCTTGGTTTTTTTGGCATCTAACACAGTTGTCATTGACATCACATAGAGTGTTTCTAAATATTTAGATGATGAATCACCTATCAAGGAGATGTCCAGAAGAAGCTGATGAACTTAGCAAAAATACTGGGGATCTTCAGCAGAGCAATTTTATCTGTGTAATGGAAAGAAAAAGTAGTAAATTTATAACTGTTCATAAATAAGTCTATAGGCATCCAACTATATCTACCTGCCTCAGAAATTACATACTTTATATGCAGGAATAAATGAAAAACCTGATATATTTAAATATGTCAGTAAGTGCTCACATGCATACATGTGCAGAGTTTTCAGATAATCAACTAAGTATTTGCATCCTTATTTTACATATATATTTAGTTTTTCAAGTTTATTTGACACAAGAAGAAAGTGTAATTCATATCTCAGTGAGTTTTGTGGGTATAAGGAAAAGTGTCTTTTAAAAAATTAAAACAAGATATATTTTATCACAAGAGATATAATAGCCTGAGGGGCTTGGTGCTTGGATAGAAAAGTTTTAAAATGATCATTTTCCCTCAGGTGAATATTTGGACATTCTCGCTGTCTCCTGTGACAGCTTTGACGAGGAAGTCAATGTCCTTATTGGCCGTGGCCAAGGAAAGAAGAACCATGTGGAAAACCTTCAAAAGCTGAGGACATGGTGTAGGGATTATAGAGTCGCTTTCAAGATAAATTCTGTCATTAATCGTTTCAACGTGGAAGAGGACATGACGGAACAGATCAAAGCACTAAACCCCGTCCGCTGGAAAGTAAGTACACAAGGTCGCTTTTGCTGATTTCCTTCAAGAAAACATTCAGGAATGACTATTTTCAATGAAACTGAAAATCATACTGACACAAGAGAACTCTGGACCTCGCAAGCCAGTCCAGAAGTTAGGTTCTTGGTCTTTCAGCTCTGTTAGGCTTAAAACTGTATTTTTCTTTGCCTTACTTCCCGTTTCTGAAAACTTGAAATGATTTCCTTTGGAAATATTGTGAGGATAAACATAAAAAAATATGCTCAGTGCTTGGAAATGTTTGGAATAATATGTTCATAGAAAGCCTACATTTCTTTTTAAAACTCTTGGCTTGTGAATGGACAGATACAGGTTCCTCATAAATTCTGATGCAGTGAATTTCTAGAAGACATTAGGAGTAAAGTCATCCCCAAGTTGTAGCAAAATGGGACCTTTACTCCCAGATTCATGCTTTAGGGCTGACGCCACTACCAGCTACTAAAAGCCTAAAGTCCACACACATGCAAGCCAACTCCATATATGCAGCTCCCACTATGTGCAGACATGCATGACTAAAATCCCAGGTTTCTACCTTTGACTGCTTGTCAGAGTCAACTCAGGAGGCTGTTTAAAAGCAGTTTCTTGGGACTCATACCTGCTGTCCTGAAACAAGGCCTGTGGTGAAGGCAAGCATAGCAGGGAGGGCTTGCACAAGCATGTATTTCTAACAAGCAGTCCTAGGGGACTCTTGTATAGCCATCCAGCGCCTGTGTCTGGAGCCCAGCATAGATGCAATGAAAGATAAGATGCAGAGCCCAGTGCTAGCACAAACACACAAAAAGAGATGTGGGAAAAGTCACATAATAGAAAGCTATGTGTGCTATCATACCATGAAATGGCAAAAGAGGCTGAGCTTAAGCGGAAGGCTTCGTATAGGAGGAGGCATTTGGCTATGCTCTGAAAAATGGAAAGAATTTTCATAGGTGGCAAAGACATGAAGAAGAAGGCCACATCCAGACTAGAGGGCTTGCCTGCACGAAGAACAGGTTTTCCTTCAAAGCTGCCTTGGCTGTTTCTTTAAATCCCATGTCAGCATTCCAGATAGAGTTAGGGAGGAGGGAAAGGGATATTCTATCATTTTCCTGAAGCTGTCCTGTAATATGTGGAAATGGGTTAGGGGAAGCTGGAGATGCTACTTTGAAAAAATTTTAATAGGTATGTTGAACTTGAACTTTTGGTTACATGTATAAGGACATGAAATATCAGCCTCATTTCCAGGTGTAGAAGGAACTGGAGAAAAGCTAAAGAGAGAGGTCTGATAGGAAAAACAGGAACACGATCCACCAGGAAGGCAGAGGCTCCAGCTGGAGGGCTAAGCTACCTTAGAGACATTGACTCTCCTGCCTGCCCCTCTCCTGTCGCCCCCTCTCTCCTCTGCCCTGTGTTTCCTGTTACTGTCTTCCTCATTGCTGTCTTTTGGCGTCCTTTTTTCAGATGTGTAAGTATTTTTTCCCCAAGCTTGGTGTTCTCCTATCTCATGGCCTTTCTCTCAGATATTTTGACTCCTACACCGGCTTCCATTCATCTGATTCACTCTAGATTTGCCATCAAGATCCTGACTCTTTTGGTGGAAGGCTACCTTCTGCCTGTTTGGAAAACCAGATTGTTGGTATATGCAGGCTTCCAATTGATGTAAATTGATGTTCCTGGATCAGGTGCCTGTTCTTAGTCCAATCGTACATTGCACTCAGAACCTGGTTTCCTGAGGCTGCCTCCTCCACCATGAGGCTGTGGGCTGGAAGGTGTCACCAGCCGTGTCCCCGGGACAACAGCACTGAGCCTACGATTACTCATTGGGAGGCTTTGTTGTGACCTGTAGGCTTGCTCCAGCAGCATGGCAGGAGGGAGCTCCTTCTACTCTTCCATGCCCAATCCCACGCCCTCAATATTGTTCCCCTTCCAGCTCCTACAGCTTGGTTTTCTCCTGCAGAGGCCCTTCCATTCTAGCTGGCTGATTCTGGAGTCAAAGTCCCTGGGAAAAAATGCCTGTGATGTATGTCTTCTTTGATAGTCAAGTCTGCTCATGATTCAAACCTACATGGAAGGGCACTCCCTCCCTGCCAGGCCTCTCCTTACCCTGAGCCTGGATGGGGCATGGGGATGGGTGATGATCCCTCCCAAGATGCTCACAGTCTTTTAAGGAAGAAACCATGAAAGCAAATAGCAAAGGGGACAGTGGAGGCAAATATCAAAAGACCGAGGAGCAAAAAAGAAGGGGAAAATAAAGAGTGAGCAAAAAAGGCAACGTTGAAGTGTTGACAGTTCCTTCTCATCTGACTACAGTGGCATCTGAGTGGTTCAGATGATGATATTAGTGAAATTCTGTGTAGAATAATCCTTTCCATGGAAACCCTTTAGATCTGGGCTTGTCCTGGCTCTGTCTTGGGTTAGCTGTCACCCTTTGTCACCTTGGGCAAGTCTCTTCACTTCTTGCCTTTTGTAGGACTGAATTTTATTTTCAAACGATGGTAGTATGTATAGAATAATACACTTTACACAATCATACATACACATTTGTTCACTTAAAAGACTGTCAAAAGAGCATATTAATGATTTTGAAAAACTGTTCTTAGGTTTTAAGTGAAAAACAGACATACACTAGAGGCTTTTATAAGAATATATTAAAAATCAGCAGAGAAAACAATGTTTTTAAAATGTGTTTTCCTTGGTTATGGGATTACACATGATTTATTTTTTATGCTCTTTTATAGTTTATATTTTTTCAATAAATACCCATTATTGTGTTGTCAGAAAATATTATAAGACTCAATCAAACATAATCTAGACAAGTTTTTGAAAGTTTATATTTTAAGGATGTTTGTGCTTCTAACAGCATATTCCTAAATTTCAGGGCTAGCTTTCATTTCCACAAAGTAATATTTCTCTAGAATGTTCCTCAGCTCATAGAGTCTTCTTTACTCAGAAGAAATAAAGCTTGTAAAAGGGGAGTGAGGTTTGGGGGAAAACATAATGGAAGCTCTCTGCAAAGCAAATGCTACCATTGCCTTTCAGGTGTTCCAGTGCCTCTTAATTGAGGGTGAGAATTGTGGAGAAGATGCTCTGAGAGAAGCAGAAAGATTTGTTATTGGTGATGAAGAATTTGAAAGATTCTTGGAGCGCCACAAAGAAGTGTCCTGTTTGGTGCCTGAATCTAACCAGAAGGTTGTATAAAGCAAAAGTTGTTTTATCATCATACATTCAGACTGACTCCCAAAAGGGAAGTCTCTCAGCCAAGGGTCCCACACATCGTTATTTTAGAGGGTTCGTGGTGAGAAATGGGAGGAGTGCCACGTCAGGGCAGATCGGGCTGAGGGTTGTCATTGGCTCTGCCACTGGCTCTGCCACCTCCCAGCTGCAGGGTCTGTAGAGAGCTTCAGCTTCTCTATCCATGATGGATACAGTGGCACTTTGCAGACGATACAATTGTACATAGATTCATGTAGATATTCTTTATATACGATTCATATATGTATAAGGTCCCTATGTGTCATACATGTATGACGTAGCCCCTAGACGTAGAAAGAACTAACGAATACCACTCTATTGATATCAACATTATCACTTTATTTAGCTGAATAATCTCTATGTATAATTTTGTTATGTTGCATAGAATGTAGAAGAAATGTTTCCTGTTTAGTTTTCTAATGGAATGACAATTGGATCCATCCTATTAGCACAAATTTCATACACAGATAAAACAAGGTTGGCCAAAGCATGTCCACACTGTGGAACTCTCAGGTATTACTAGAAGCAGGGGATCTAAAGATGTGTTCTCAGAAGCTACAGAAAAAAATCCATTAATAAGGAACCTCGTTATTAATGAAAGATACAAACTTAAAAAAAAATTGATAGTATAATTGAATCCATAAAATTAAAAATATATGTCACACATGTCATAAAATTAAAAGTGAAATATGTTAACATGTTATACTGAATTGTATAAAGTATTATATATAAAAAGTTATTTAAATCAATAATCTATTAACACCAAAAAAGCAAAACATGCAATGGACATAAATAGTTTACAGAAGAAAAACAAATGGTGAATAAATATTTTAAGGGCATTTGATATTGTCTATATTCAAAGAAATACAAAATAAAATATGAAGCATAAAGTTGCAGTAAGAGGCAAGTTCATGTTGTTAGCAACAGTATAAATTATTGCAACTTTCCTAGAAAACGAATTGCTAACTTTGTAACCTTTAAAATAGCCACATATTTGAATTTAGAAATTCTACCTTAAAACATGAAATATTCACAGATGTAGAGAAGTATTTATGTGAAGATATGTTACTGCAGTATTAAGAATAATACTGGCTGGGCACGGTGGCTCATGCCTGTAATACCAGCACGTTGGGAGGCCGAGGCGGGTAGATCACGAGTTCAGGAGATCGAGACAATCCTTGCTAACACGATGAAACCCCGTCTCTACTAAAAATACAAAAAATTAGCCAGGCGTGGTGGCGGGTGCCTGTAGTCACAGCTACTCGGGAGGCTGAGGCAGGAGAATGGTGTGAACCCAGGAGTTGGAGCTTGCAGTGAGCGGAGACCATGCCACTGCAGTCCAACCTGGGCGACAGAGCGAGACTCGGTCTCACAAAAAAATAAAAAATAAAGGAAGAATACCAAAAAAATTAAAGATAGCTTGTCATTCAGCATAAAGAGAATGAGTAATTCTGTAGGTTCACAGAATGAAATGTTACACTGACTAACAAGCATATTCCAAAAATTTTTAAGTGACAAAGAGAAATTCTGATAATATAATAGTAGGTACAGATAAAAAACAGTATGCAAAATTAATTTGAAGTTTAAGCCTAATGTGTAAAAAAAAGTGCATGTCTACATATTCCTATGGTTATCTTGGAGTAGTGGAATTATAAGTAGTTTTATTCACCTTTTTAACTTTTTGAACTTTAAAATTTTGTAACTTAAGTATTAGTTTTATTATTTTAAAAACAGCTTCTCCATCTGCCATCCAAAAATACACATACAGGAAAATCTCTACCCCATATGCTTAAGTAATGCTAGGAACTCAAAGAGCAGACATTCATTCCTTATGTTTTAGACTTCTGAGGCTCTAGGTAAATGGTTCAAGTTTAAAAGGTAATGTTGAAGTGAACACGGATAAGAAAATCCCGGAATGGCGGACAGGATGACCATGAAAAAGAAGAGAAAGGGGGTAGAGGAGGTTTTCCTCTATGCACTATTTTATTGGATATTTTAAAACTCCATCTTAATTAAATAGTTAATATGACATTATAGAAAATCTGGTTGAGTACCTCCTTTGTAAAAGGGACTATTATCCCTTTGACTCATCGCCATTTTCACTAATGCTTCATGAGCCAGGTTTTATCATCTCCGTTGTATACACCAAGAGGCCGAGTGGTAGGTGCTCATTTACCAGACTTGTATCAGGGGCAAAATCTGAATTTTGATGACCCCAAAGCCCACGAACCTTTTAGCCAGTTTGTTTCCAACTTCATCAAATCACCTGGGATCTCGTGAAAGGGCAGACCCCTACTCAGTGGGTCTGAGGTAGGCCCACCACTCTGCACCTGGAACTAGTTCCCAGATGATGCTGATGCTACTGGTACCCCACTAGACATTCAATAGCAGGTCTGCTCCTATCCCTGCAGAGGAGTTGGCAAATGCTGGCGTCAGGGACGGGTCTGGCCTGCCACCTGTTGTAGTACAGGATGCAAGTTAAGAGTTGATAAGGGAAAACATCAAAACAAGAATCGTATTTATGACCTGTGAACATTATGTAAAAGCTGTTTTTCTGGGCCCATAAATTAAGTTTCAGAGGAGCTCAGCCAAGCTATTTTTCTTATGTATCATCTGTGGTGGCTTTTGGGCTACAAAGCACAGTTGATTAGTTGTTACAGACTGTGTGGCCTGCTAAGCAGAAAATATTTGCTATCTGGCCCTTTACAGAAAACAATTTTGCAGACCCCTATCTACAAGGATAGGGATAGAAGGAATACCTTCCCATCAACAGTACAGGTACAGCTTCTCTATATGTATAGAAGGCATAACTATTGACAAGTAATGTTAGGGTAATATTAAAATCCTCAGGTAAATCCACCTTTTAGCTCCCAAAAGTAGCATTCAAGAGAGTTCTGCTTTATAAATTGAAAAGGGGGAAATTAGATACATGGTGGACAGAGTCATTGGAAATATCACGTAAAGAAGAAAAGGGCTCTCCAAAAGTGTGAAGGGATGGGGAAATTGCCTTGGAGTTCACTGTCAGGGAAGCCTTCAGGATGAAGGTTCTGATGTTTGACCTTTTCAGCAAAGAGCAGAGAATCCAGGCCTGCTGTGATCTGTTGGAAACTGAATGCACACAAACAGAGCCTTGTCTTGCGAGGGCCATGCCAAAGGCAACTCAAGGGAAATGAGAAATGCTGGATCCAAAATAATAACAATGCAAACACTCCAGGTGGACAGTTGAGCTCACATATTGAGAAATGCACCTGAAACTAAATTTGTATTAACTTCTCCTTTGCAGATGAAAGACTCCTACCTTATTCTGGATGAATATGTGAGTATTTCCAATGAGTTATAAAATTATCACTTAATTAATTAATTAGCAGCAGTGGCAGAGTTGAGTTCCCTAAGCATAATTATCTAGTACCTATTTGTCCTTCTTCATTAGCACTTCACAGTTTGATGGTCAGTGATTACGATTATGCCAGAGCCCTCACTTCTCAGGGTCAAACGTGAAGCTAAACACTGGAACAGCACATGCTTGAACCCAGGTCCCAGCATTGATTTGCACTGAGCACCACGTGATATTGTCTGCCATATAGCTATGCATCCGTGGATGTCACATGGAACTCGTTATCACACACAACCAAGTCGTCTGTTATGTAGTCCTGGGCTGGAGGCTCTCCTGAGATACGGCATCCAGCCTACTTTGGAGCACTATTGGCCACATCACTCTTCTCACTATCTTGGAGAAACCAGACACAGCCAGTTTGTTTTCTGATTGATGAACCTTGGCTTTGGTGAGGAGAGGCTTATGGTTCTGCCCCAAACACCACTGATATTATTCCTACCCCACTGCCTTCCAAAGGAAGAGGGAAACCCACCTTTCTCAAAATTGAAAAACAAATCACGTCCCCCTTTCCTCTGTCTTTTTTTTTTTTCTAGATCTATAACCTTTGCCACTCTTTCTAGCAAAGGACAAATAAGTCCATTTGAAGACGTATCTTAAAAAAATGAGCTCCAGCCACCTTGAGTTCCATATTTAAATTGGATTTGTTTTTTGGAGAAATGCTTACTGTCACTTTTGATGTTTGCTTTTCTTTTCTTTTTTTTTTTTTTTTTTTGGGATAGGGTTTCCTGTCATCCAGGCTAGGGGGCAATGGCACAATCTTGGCTCACTGCAGCCTCAGCCTCCTGGGCTCAGGTGATCCTCCTGCCTCAGCCTCCCAAGTAGCTGGTACTGCAGGTGTGCATTACCACACACAACTGGATTTTTATGTATTTTTTGTAGAGATTGGATTTTGCCATGTTGCCCATGCTGGTCTTGAACTCTTGGGCCTCCCTAAATGCTGGGATTCCAGGCGTGGGCCCCCATGCCCAGCTGGTATTTTGTTATTTTCAAGTTAACCAATCAGTGTTTATAGCCATTTCATTTCTTAACAATATAAGCTTTCTTAATAGGGCGTAAGGGAAAAGGTGATAAGGAAAATACTCAGTTTCTGGGTCCAAGGTAGAGAGGAAAATTCAAACAATTTATTTTTGGAGTGGAAATTATTATGATTGACTAGGGATTTTGACTAGCATCCCTCAGCAAACTAGCTGGTCTCCACGTATTTGGAAAACACATAGTTGAACCAAAATTTGCTTTTACCAATTGAATAACATTTTGCTTCAACAAGTATTACTTGTGCTCCTATGAAACACTCAGTGTAGGTCGTAAGGAATGTGAAGAAATCATTTCTGCCTACGGAGTAGAATAGGACAGAATAAAACAAATGAAAATGGATGGAATAAGATTAAAACAAAGAGCCTTAGCAGGTCATAGAAGACTCTTGTTGATCTGGCACCTGCCTGCCTCAGCAGCGCCTTCTTTACATCCTCTCTCTCTTTCTCAAAACAAGCCTTTATTAATATTTACGTGTGTACATGCATGTACTTTATACATGCACATCGTTTCTATTCCAGAAATACCGTCTACCTCCAATTTCCCCAGTACATCATGCTATATCACACTTCTGTGCTTTTATGATACCATTCCCTCCAATTTAAAATCTCAACACATAATTCAGATGTCAGCATTTGGGGGAAGCCTCTCCTGATTACCCCTTCCCCCAGTGGAGCTACATCTGCCCATGCGGAGTGCGTATCATTCTGTTTATCGTGCACTTAGGTGTCTACTATGCTTAGCCCAGCCTCTTCCACCAGATCATGAGCTGGTTGAGTAGAGAGATCGGGTCCAAGGGGTTCAATATCAGCCACAGATTTCAAAAAATATCTGTCAACATGACTGGAATATCAAAAGCTATTTGGGATTAATACTGTAGCTTGAGTTCTACAGGATTCATCACATGGAAATATACCAGTTTCTGTTATGAATTTTCTAGATGCGCTTTCTGAACTGTAGAAAGGGACGGAAGGACCCTTCCAAGTCCATCCTGGATGTTGGTGTAGAAGAAGCTATAAAATTCAGTGGATTTGATGAAAAGATGTTTCTGAAGCGAGGAGGAAAATACGTATGGAGTAAGGCTGATCTGAAGCTGGATTGGTAGAGCGGAAAGTGGAACGAGACTTCAACACACCAGTGGGAAAACCTCTGGAGTGACTGCCATTGTCTGCAGTGCTATCCCGTTGGTATTTCCCAATGGCTGAAAACCTGATTTTCTGCTGCACATGACATCTGATTACCTGTGGTCACTGAACACATAAATAACTTGGATAGCAAATCCTGAGACAATGGAAAACCACGAACTTTACTTCATTGACTTAGAACCTTGTTGTTATTGAAACAGCACTTCTGTTTTTGAGTTTGATTTGGCTAAAAAGAGGGAATACACACAGGAATAATGGCCCCAAAAAAGCTTAGACAAGGTCCCTATACACAGGACCTGACCTTTAGCTCAATGGTGCATTTGTAAGAAATAAGCTCTAGTGATATCTGTGGGGGCAATATTTAATTTGGATCTGACATTTTAAACAATGTTTACTGTGATTTCTGTATTTCCATTTTGAAGCCATTTCTTGTTCCAGGTTTGTTCGTTTGACAGAGTCAGTATTTTTTGCTAAATATCCAGATACCAGTTTTCACATCTGAGACATTATAAAGTATCTGCTTCAATTATTTCTGCTGGTTATAATGCTTTTTTTTTTTTTTTTTTTGGCCTTTATGCCATTGCAGTCTTGTACTTTTTACTGTAAAGTATAGAAATAGTCAACAGATGTTTCCAAGAATGTATGATATGATAATTCTCCCAATTTTCAAGAAGTCCCTAGAAGGAGATAACACATATTTACATGTGTACATGCATGCAGTTTATACGTGCACATTGTTTCTATTCCAGAAACAACGTCTACCTCCAATTTCCCCAGTACATCATGCTATATCACACTTCTGTGCTTTTATGATTCCATTCCCTTCAATTTAAAAAAGGGTGCAGCCCTGCGCATGGTGGCTGTTCCATGAATGCTGGCTACCTATATATGTGTGGTACCTGTTGTGTTCCTTTCTCTTCAAAGATCCTGAGCAAAACCAAGATACGCTTTCCATTTGATGATGGCATTGACATGGGAGCAGTGCTTGTACTGCTTTGTTCACCTATCATTTGGCCACATGAGGCTGTCAAGCAAAAGAATAGAAGTATCGTTGAATAGCTGGTTGTCCCTACGTTTCTGAGAGGTGATGGCACACAGGGTTGGCATAAGATACCCTAAAATCACGCTGGAACCTTGGGTGAAGAAGAATGTGAGCAAGAGTAGAGAGAGTGCCTGGATTTCATGTCAGTGAATCCATGTCACCATATCATATTTTTGAATGAACTCTGAGTCAATTGAAATAAGGTACCATCTAGGTCAGTTTAAGAAGAGTCAACTCAGAGAAAGCAAGCGTGAGGGAAAATGTCACGTAAACTAGATCAGGGAACAAAATCCTCTCCTGGTGGAAATATCCCATGCAGTTTGTTGATATAACTTAGTATCTTATTGCCTAAAAAATAATTTCTTATCATTGTTTCAAAAAAGCAAAATCATGGAAAATTTTTATTGTCCAGGCAAATAAAAGGTCATTTTAATTCAGCTGCAATTTCAGTGTTCCTCACTAGGTGGCATTTAAATGTTGCCTGATGTCATTAAACACCATCCAGAAATTCTGCTTCATAATCTGTTCTCAAGACTTGGTGATTTTAAGTTTTGGTTTTTGTGACTTTGTTTCTCAGAAAAAAAAAAATCCTACTTAAATTTTAAGTCACTATAATTCAATTTAAATATGTGCGTGTCTCATCCAGGATAGGATAGGTTGTCTTCTATTTTCCTTTTTACCTATTTACTTTTTTGTTAGAAAAGAGAAAAATGAATTATAAAGCTGTTCCCCATGAGTTTTGATTGTATCTAAGCTATGATGACCTTCATATAATCAGCATAAACATAAAATAAATTTTGTACTTAACATGAGTGCACTTTGCTGATCCTCATGGCACGGTGGCTCACGCCTGTAATCCCAGCACTTTGGGAGGCCGAGGTGGGTGGATCATGAGGTCAGGAGTTCGAGACCAGCCTGGCCAACGTAGTGAAACCCCGTTTCCACTAAAAATACAAAAATTAGCCAGGCATGGTGGCATACACCTGTGATTCCAGCTACTCAGAAGGCCCAGGCGGAAGGATTGCTTGAACCTGGAAGGCAGAGGTTGCAGAGCCGAGATAGTGCCACTGCACTCCAGCCTGGGTGACAGAGCAAGACTCCATCTCAAAAAAAAACAAAAAACAAAAAACAAGAGTTTAACAAAGAAGGGTCACATGTGTGAAAGCCCCAAGGACACTGTTTGATATACAGCAGGTATTCAATCAGTGTTACTTGAAACCAAATCTGAATTTGAAGTTTGAATCTTCTGAGTTGGAGTGAATTTTTTTCTAGCTGAGGGAAACTGTATTTTTCTTTCCCCAAAGAGGAATGTAATGTAAAATGAAATAAAACTATAAGCTATGTTAAATATATTTTCAGCTATTTTATCCACTATTATTCACGTGCCACGCCCACCTCCTCCCCGCCCCCCACCGCAACCCGCCACCGCTGCCTAATGCACTGGTAGGATTTGCAAGGCCTTAATGTTTAAAATAAAGGGGAGAAATAAGGACTTCTAACATTACAGTAAATTCAAATTCAGTCTATATAGTGTTATGCTTTAAATTTTCAGGGCCACTGGGGTATGAAGAAAAACTCCTGCAGCTAGCTCAGCATCTGCCCAAATGGCCGCCCAATTTTGTGCTTGAAACCCAGGGCCCTGGTGGTGTAGGCACCCGAGGGAATCTCCTGGTCTGTGGTTTGTGAAGACCATGGGAAAAGCATAGTATCTGGGCTAGATAGCACCGTTCCTCACAGCACAGTTCCTCATAGCTTCCTTTAGCTAGGGGAGGGAGTTTCCTGACCCCTTGTGCTTCCTGGGTGAGGTGATGCCCCACCATGCTTTGGCTCACCCTCCATGGGCTGCACCCGCTGTCCAACCAGTCCCAATGAGATGAACCAGGTACCTTAGTTGGAAATGCAGAAATCACCCACCTTCTTTGTTGGTCTCACTGGGAGCTGCAGACCAGAACTGTTCCTATTTGGCCATCTTGCCAGTCCTCCAAGTCAAGTTTAATTATACGAAAACCCCATATATGCTTAGAAGAACTATAGCAAGTCCACCTCAGATACTACTAAAATAGACTTAAAAGATCAGAAAGATTGTAACAATATTTATTTTTATTATTAAAAAATACACATTTGGAGGATATTTGAAAACAGTAAAACAAAATGAAGAAAATTAAAATTACCCATAATTGTGTCACATAGAGGTAACTGGTAATTTAGCTTACATTTTTCCAGTCATATATATTGCTTAGTAAAATTGCATTCATACTCAATAATTTTATTTTTCACATGTCTTCTGAAGTTTTTTAAAGTCAGTTAGCATTTTATACTTTAATGAGAACAGCCAGTTCTCAGCAATTCACACTAATAGATCAGAAAAAAATGGCATTAAAAAGTCAGAGTTAACTTGAGAAAAACCACTGGATTTGGTTTTTGAGTTGTTTACATATTTGTTTATGGATGTGAGTGGTATCCTGTTAATTTTGGTAATATTCTCTACACACACACACACACACACACACACACACACAAACAAAGCTTCTCTGTGAAAGTTCATTCTTGGGGAATCTGGAAAACTGCCCAAACATTGTTTATTTTTTTCATTCAGGGCCGCCTCAACTTGTTTCTAAACCCCTCTCAGCAACACGTCTGAATAGACTGACCTTTGTCAGTTCTCTTCCTGGGTTATACTCAGCTTTATCTTTTACGTTTTCTGACATCTACTCGTGTGAATAACCAGAAAACCTTTGTATATGTGTAGCTGGTGCCATCTGCTTTTGTGAAGAATACCTCATTTTTCATTAAATCATAACTCAGATATCACTTTTTCCTGGAAGCCTAGTAGACAGCAGGCATTCGAATGCTAGTTGAGTCAAACTGACCTGAATTAGTCAGCTCAGGCTGCCATAACAAAATACCATATACTATGTGGCAGAAACAACACACACGTATTTCTCTGGAGGCTGGAAGTCCAAGATCGGTGCCAACTGTTTCAGTTTCTGGTGAGGCTTCTCTCCCTGGCTTGCAGATGGCTGCCTTGTCCCTGTTCTCATATGGAAGAGAGAGAGAGATCTCTCTCCTCTTACAAGGCTACCATCCTTTTGCATAAGGACTTCATTTGAACTTAACTACCTGCTAAAGACCCTGTGTCCAGATATAGTCACACTGGGGATCAGAGCTTTGACATGTGAGTTTTGGAAGGAGACAATTCAGTCCATGGCATGACCCATCATTGAAATAGTAAGATGTAGTATACCTAATAGATTTGACCTGACTTTGATGGCAATTAATAAAGCCACTTCTATTGAAATAGGCAGTGCTGTGAGTAGTATGACTTGGTGACACCTGGAAGTTTCCTATTGCCTCCATCAGCTGTGACAGAGCCTGAAATATCTTTGTTGTGATTAAGCTTGCAATTTCTCCACTGATTTTCTGTAAAACTGAGGGAGTTTGGGGAAGTAGCAAACATTAATCTTGTTCTTCCAGTTGTCGTGGGGATGAGTCAGCACCACCTTTCTCTCAGGTATTGGCCAGGAGAGGGAAAAGAAGGGAACAGAGAGCAAACTGAAGCTATGTCCTACCTATTTGCCCACCATAACCTGTTGATGCATGGCAAGATCCTTGTGGTTGAAAGGTTTAATTCAGGAAGAGCTGGGTGCATATCTACCATGTGGTGAGACCTGTGCCAGACACTATGGGGAATATCCAAGAAGAAGTTAGGCTTTTCAACTTTGAGAAATTTGCAAATGTTAGGACAAGAGTTAGACACATGAGAGAGTTAAACAACTGAGTAAGAGAGGCAAAGCAGTGATAGAAAAGGCACAGGCCAAGGAGACAGCCCAGCTTGAGCTGCAGTACTGTGTTTGATTAAGGGTGAGATACTTAGGTTCACAAAGGCCCAGTTTCTTCATCAGCCAAATGAGGGATCAATGCAAAGATTAGAGTAAGGACTTGAGTTAATTACACAAACAGCTCCTGGTGGCCTCTGGTAACTACTAACAGTAACCGATGAGTTCACATCGCGTGAAAGCCATCCTTCATAATCTGAGTAATGCAGGACAAAACAGATAAAATCTCATGTCACAGTTTCAAGTCCTGATCATTGTCGTGAGCAAAAAGAGAGGACATTTGGGTTTGGGGGAGGAACACCTTAGAGAACAGGAGGCTTAAGACGGCTGCCCATTAGTTAACTTACTCATTTAATATGCACCTATGATATATCAGGTTTTATAGCAAGTGCTAAAAACACAAAAATGAGCATGAGATTGCTTTGTTGCTAAGGCTCTCAAAGTTTAGTGGAGAAGGCAGTCTTGTAAGCAAATACGTAAAATAAGTGTTGAAGGATGGTAGAAGTAGCCACAAAGTTTTCACACACACACACAAAATACATGGCTGACTCTGGTCTCTCATTCTACATCTTAACGGGAATATTGAGATGAGTGCTTCCCCAGAGCTCAGGTCTGAAAAATTCAGTAGAACATAAACTTCTAAAAATGTTCTGACTACTCATCCATAAAAAAGAATGAATTAATGGCATTTGCAGCAACTTGAATGAGATTGGAGACCATTATTCTAAGTGAAGTAATTCAGGAATGGAAAACCAAATGTTGTATGTTATCACACTTAAGTGGGAGCTAAGCTATAAGGATGCAACGGCGTAAGAATGACACAGTGGGCTTTGGGGACTCAGTGGGAAAGGGTGGGATGTGGGTGAGGGATAAAAGACTACAAATTGGGTGCAGTGTGTACTGCTCGGGTGATGGGTGCACCAAAGTTTCACAAATCACCACTACAGAATTTACTCATGTAGCCAAACACCACCTGTTCCCCCAGTAACCTACGGAAAGAAAAAACAAAACAAAAAAACGCTTTGCTCTGTTTTGTGAAGGGTCCAATGTCGGCCTTCAAGTGGCCTCAAAAATCAGAGACACAGAAATGTGCAAAGCAACTGGATATAAGACAGCACAGGGTGGTGGGAGCCAGGGCGAGTTAGAAAACATACTCCTCTTAGAGGCATTCAAGTTTTATAAAACATGACACTCCCCAAGTGAAATACCTCTGAAGATCTGACTTGTCTTATCAGATGCCTGTCTTCAAATTCAAGTCTCAGTGCCACCATGACTATCCCCTAATTTATTCAATGGTATGTCAGGCATTAGCTGTTCACTGAAAACTGCTAACCTTCATCATTGTTCCTTGAAGGAAATATTTTTACTCCCTATTGTAAAGACGTTGAGTAGTCTTTCATAGCCCCTTCTGTGAACATGAGAAAATTATACTTTCTCACCTTCTTTCAGTTAAGCAAAGCTACTCGTTCTGGCCAATGATGAGTGCGTTTAACTGCTGGTACAAGGCTTTACAACATTTGCTTTTGGGTCCACAGTGATTACAGAGGAGGCCTAATGTTGAGGTGGCTGAGTCTAAAAACAGGCAACCTTGATCTTGTGTGCTTATTGGGAGGATAGTATTGAAGAGACAAATATGGTCATAGCAAACTGCATATATGGGACAGTTCACCTTTTGAGATTACTTGTTACCGTAACACAGATTAGCCAGTCCTAACCAAAATGATCCCATAACAAATAACATTCAGATTGTCTAAGGCTAATGATGGAGATACAATTTCAGTAGGGGTTAAGGCATTTGGACTTCACAGTCTCATTTCACAATATTGACCAAGATTTACATTCTCCGTGGGGATGGCTCTACAACTGATAGAATCACAATAATCTCGGCCTTGGGGGAATGCGCCTACGCCTCCTACCAGTGGACACACGATTCTTCTCTTAAACTATATGGCCCTTGAGGGTAGAGAGCATATTTTAGCAGCTAACAATTTTTGAGCCCTGAAGCAGGCATGGCAAGTATGGTGTTAAGTGCTTTGACTAATTTTTATTTTAAATGCTCAGAGAAACCATATAAGAGAAGTGTAATCATCCCTTATTTTAGAGCTGG